TTTACATAATACTTTAAATCATAATGATGTCAAATTGTAAATGAAAAAGTTATTTATTGATACATTTATTGTTAAATAAATTATAATGTACACTCAGCAGTCAGCACCACCTTATATTCTTTAAATACAATACTTTACACCAACACCTAACCCAACTCACTCCACCCGCACACGCCCCACCGTTTATATAAATACCCAACAGAGATACACGTAATCCCCAAATTTTCTCATGTCAATTCTCAGGTGAAACGGCGGGAAATCCATTTTTCCCCCAAAACCTCCCTCCGATACCCTTTTCCTTCAAACCCTAATAAAGAACTCCCACTCCCCGCACAAAATTCAATTTGACCGCAGAAGCGGAGAAGGAAAAATATTTTCTTTTCTCCACCATGGCTAATTTTCCGTCAAATTTGTTACAACTTCAAGAAGGAAAAAAGGGATTGAAGCCGCATTTACACGATGCTGAAGAAGATGACCTTGGAAGGGGAAATAAGAGTCTCAAGTACGTCCCATTGTCTGATGTGTATTCTGCTACTTCTCCGTATGTCAGCGCTAGTGGATCGAAAAAGGTGAAGGCCACCCGGAAATTGCCGTTGCTCCCTCATATCAACAGTTGTGGTCAGATAAAAGAAGAACCTATGATGTACGAGATTCCGAGGATGATTCATGTTTACTCGCGGCGCCGAAAAAGGAAAGAAAGAAAACTTTCATTTTTTGAGAAGTTGATTCTGAAGGAGAGCAAGAACGAGGAAGGCGATAGTGAAGAAGGGATGGAAAGTGGATTCATGCAGAAGAAGCAGAAGACGGTAGGGGATAACGAGGAAATGGAATTGGGGGTATACTGTACTGAGTTAGGTACATTAGATGATCGATTGGGGTTAGGAGAAACACGAAATAATGTAAAAAAAGTAAATAGTAGGAAAAATTGGAACTTGGACAGTAAAGTTAATAAAAGTGGGAGTCTTAGGAAGCGGAAAAATATTGACCGTGTTTGTTTGGGAAACGGATTGAAGCATTCGGGGGCTGTTCGGATCAAGAAATGGGTTTGGTATGCCATTTTCTTTTTCTTTTCCTTTTTTCCTTCTCTCTCTTTACCTAGTTACTTGTGGTTAACATTTTAATATAATTTAATGATTATTATTTTGGTTATTCAATTGAACCTTATTACTGGATACAGGTTGAGTTTTGAAGGTGTTGATCCAAAGAAGTTTATTGGTTTGCAATGCAAGGTATGCGCTTTATTAAACTTAAATACTGTACATACAGGTATCGAGGATTTCCTGTCCTTTTGATGTGTGTATATGTATATTTTGTCATTATTAATAATATTCCGTTGCTTGTTCACAAAACAAGGACCTTGTGATAGATTATGTATTCTCATAAAACCTTATATGGGCACATTTTTTATACAATTGGATGGTATGTGTAGCACTTTTTGATTTCTAATTTTTATATTTATGTTTTTTTTGGCAAATGTAATTTGATAGTCATCTGGAACAGGTGTTCTGGCCACTGGATGCGGATTGGTATTCTGGTCATGTTGGCAGTTACATTTCTGAAACTTCCAGGCACCATGTAATAATCTTTTACCTCAATAGTTTGAGCTATATATGTATTATGAGTATGCATGGGATATTCAATGAACACTTTGGTAACAGCCTTGTAAATGTAGGTGAAGTATGAAGATGGAGACGAAGAGACTTTGAATTTATCAAATGAAAGAGTCAAGTTTTATGTATCTTCTGAGGAAATGCAGAGTTTGAAATTGAGGTACATGGACAAGAGCTCAGAATCTGATGGAATAAATGTGAATGAGATGGTGGCCTTGGCTGCTAGTTTGGATGATTGCCATGAGCTTGAACCTGGGGACATAATTTGGGCAAAACTTACTGGTATGTCTCCGTCCGCTCTTGATTTTACATGAGGTTGAAAGTACATGTTTCCAGCAGATGTTATGTTCAGACAATCCTGGTATATGTTGCTTTATACCTAGACATGCATTGAAATTTACTGATCTTGAAGAAGTAATGCAGAACGATATTAGACGACAGTTATTTATCATCGCATCGTAACCTTGAGAAGTTGCTCAATTGGTCAGGCCTTGGGTTTGCTCTCTAATGGTCATTAGATCGAGTCAACTCAGGGCCACCGAGGTGAGTGTCCTGTCGTAAACTTCAGGTCCTGTGGAATTAGTCGAGGTGCGCGCAAGCTGCCCGGACATCCACGGTTATTAAAAAAAAATAAAAAAATCATCCCATCGTAATGAGCTACCATTGTCAATCACATGTCAAACAGTGCATTCGGAACATGGATACAGTGGTTTGTGGTTGTGCACTTTGATAAATACTCATTCATAATTGGAAAATCCACAATGCACTTCATAACATGTAGCTTTGATATGAGAAACTTGTAGAAACATGCAAAATGTCCAGTGTCATAAATCTCTTAGTACTTCATAGCATACTTTTAAGTCTCCCAACTATGAAAACAATGATTTGTAGAACATTAGTCTGTCCATTCAAGAAATGTAGACACGATAGCATTCAAAACGTAAAATTATGAAATAAAGGATGTTAATTGCACTTAAACTAACCAAATGTACCTCTCATCTTGACTGAAGAAAAAGACTCTGCAAAGCCACAACTTTGTTTGATAAGAAAAAATATTCTTTATTAAAGAAATACAGTTATTATTTATAACCTTGTGTATATGTAGCAGTCAGTTAGCAAGAGCACACGACATTCTCTATCAACAAAAATAAAATAAAGTCACTCACACTGAAGATTGAGTATTTCAGTTTCCATACCTGCCACACCTTTCTTGTTCTCTGAGAAGAGGGTTCAAACAAATTAACTAAAAAATCCTTTCTTTCTTCCAACCTTTCAATCTTCCCATTCATTTCCAATGAAATAATAAATAGAAAAAACTAAATCTTTCCGACGAAGAACAATTAGAGTAACATCAAAACCCATAAACTCTTTCGATGTAGAGGCCATAAAGACACTAAAACCTATCCCATTTCCATTCCCATACTAAAAATATAAGGATGGTCATCTATAAATTTGCTACAGTTATTATGCATTAATAACAATTAGCATCTAATTAAGGAAATTTCTAATCTAGAAACTGTAACTTATTGCCGATGAAAAAAAGATGAAAGAAGTACTTGTTTTGTTAACTTGTCATCACTCAATCTTTATAATCAAGATCGCAGACTTGGACTAGTTTCCAATGGAGTCTACATTGAACTTTCATAAACTCCTTCCCAATCCTTGCTTGACTGTCCTAATTTGATGACTAATATTGGTATTTAAAAGGCCAATCTTTCATTTTGCAAATTCTCTATGCACTCAATCATTAGCTGCTCTGCATGATTAGCTAACATGCTATTATTTTTCAACAATGCAAATGTTTTAATGGATTTTATAATTTCTGTCGATTCTTTCTGAAATTAGCGGTGGCATAGTATTCTGCTGCTTTGTTTTGATACTATGATCTATCTCTGGGCTCTTTTCATTTTACTTATGTGGTTTGCTAATTCTTATGTTCTTGTTTGGGTGCAAGTTCAGCTTTTTGAGAGGTTGCACATTTGTCTTTTGGCTATTTTTCAACATCCATTGTACACTGTCTCTGACACAGGACATGCTATGTGGCCATCAATCATTTTGAGTGAATCTCTTGTCGGTAAACACAAAGGTCTAAATAGAATTTCTGGAGGAAAATCAGTCCCAGTGCAATTTTTTGGCACACATGATTTTGCTAGGTATGTAATTTTTAATGGGTTCACATGAGTTTATTTTTTTCCACTGTGGTCTTCAGGCAGGAGATCCTCTAGTAATTAATATCATCAGGCTGGTTGAGGTTGTCTAATGCAATTTCCATATTTTGATCTTCAGGGTTACAAGAAAACAAGTTATTTCATTTCTCCGAGGACTCCTTTCTTCCTGTCACCTAAAGTGCAAGAAACCAAATTTTGTTCGAGCATTGGAGGAAGCAAAAATGTAATTTTTATTTACTTGAGTTCCTTAAAGTTCGTATTTCTTCTATTTATCAATTACTTATGAGGTTTAAATATGACCTGTATTAGATTCTCACTGCCAAATTCATTTAAAAGGTCCTGAAAAAATGTTTGAGTGTTCAAATGCAGTATTCTGGGGATCGAGACTTTAACTTTGACTGTGTCTGAATTACACATTGTAGTATTCTGTGATATGTTTTTACTCTCTTCTAAAGCATTTTGGAAATTAACCTTTTCTCTAATTATATTTTTTTTCTTAATCTTCCAGCCGTTAGTCCCCTTCCCCATTTTTGTGTTTTGATTTTTGATCTCAAGCCCATTAGCCTAACTTTATTTTTATTGAGAGAGGTTCACTGAGAAACTGTTATGTTTGGAGATAATGTGGTAAGGACCTGCAACGCCCTTTACATAGAAAAAGAACCATATCTGGATGTGCACCTGTGGATTGAATTTGAGGATGTGGCTTGTTGAACTTCATTCATGCATGTCTTGCTAGTTTTATAAATAAGAAGGATCAGTTCTTAATTGAGAAGATACACTTGATTATGTAATGGGTGATGCGACCTTAGAAGAACAGCCACCAAAAATTATTTGGTGAGTACCCAACACTAGGTATTGTATCATGATTAAAATGTTGTTAATTGCCTCTTTTGGAAAAAAAAAATCAGGTCACATGTTGCTTCATTGTCTTTAAACTCAACTTAAGACTGAAAAATGATGGGTGAACAGAATATTTGGGGCACGAAAGAGAAAAAGGTAGAAAGTAAATAGAAGATCTGAAGGAAAAGAAAAGGAAGTAGAGAGGAAGAACTCAATGGAGAAAAATGAAGTAGAAGGAAAATATAAGCAATCACGGCACACATTCTAGTCCACACAATTTGTGGTCCTCAAGGCCTATAAGATAGCTACTTATTTGCTAAATATGCTCATAATACGCGAATTTTGATGATTATGTGCCTACTTATTTTATATGATATATAGGCTAATGGGCATACTTTATTGCACGTACATGCGGAATGTATGAACACTTGAAATCTATAAATATAAAGATGGCCAAAATATTACAAGGATGGTTCAAGATCATCCGAGCAAGAAATGAGTTGTGTTAGTTCCTTCAGCATGGACGAAGATGTCTACATGGTTAGGGATGGCAACGGGATGGCTTCCCCGTCCCCGCAGGGCCCCAAAACTGCCCAGCTGCCCCGCGGGATCTGGTTTGGAGGGGAAAATTGCCATCCCTATGAACGGTTAAGGGAGAATTAAGTAGGAAGAGGAATGGAAGCATAAGATGGAAATTTATATGCTAGATAGTTGGTAGTTGAAAGCTTTCCATACCATTTTACTATGTGACAACATATGATCTGCTTTCTTCATTTTCTAAATATGTTAGATCTACGTGGATAAGAACAATTCACCTTGGTTCTCTTACTGAGCCTACTTCAGTTGATCCATTATCTAAATGACATCATTTTAGATCATGGATCCTACGGTTAACTAGTGTGTTGATCATTATGGGTATGGAGAACAAGATGAAGGGGTTTGCTCAGTGAGGGATATACTAAAACATCTTGTATAGCTTTGGAATCTTGTGCAAAGAAAGAATGAGATCTTATTTGAGTGTCAATATTGTTGCATATCTCAAAATATAAGTTAAATCAATTTATTGCGTCACGAGTGTTGATTTATTGGAAGATTCTAGTAATTGAAAAAGAAAAATACTTCATGTTCGGACCTAGTGGATAGGAATTTGAGGTGTGGCAAATCTATTAGATTTTGTTACTTCGGATGTTTGTTGCTAATTAGGTGTCCTAGCATACGTCTGGATAAATTTGGTTCTTGATTTCTTGTTGATTCTCTGTCTCCAAATTAAGGTTCTAAAATGCGTAATTCATGGCAATGCGTTATTGTCGAGTATCAAGTATTAGAAGTATATGCGTACCTATGTGAATGCATAATTATGTGTTTTTCAATCTTTAATTTTATTTTAAATATTCTAAACTAATAAATAAATAAAACAATGCATTATTTAAACTTTATACATATTTTTCAAATTAAAAAAAAATAAAATCATAAATACCACAATTATTTGAACTTTATTCATATTCTTCAAATTTTCAACAAAATATATTGCTCAAAATCATAACAATGCAATTCCTTGGTAATGAATTCATGCAATTAGATTAGACACAAACACCGGTTTAAAAAAAAAAATCTTAAATCTTGTTTAACTCTTTATCGATTCCAATTAAATCTCCTCCTTTTCATCCAAGTCATCATTCATGTCATCTGATGCACAATTATCTTCATTAGTCTCCCTTATTTTAATTTGAGAATTTCTATTACCTCTTATAGATGGTAACATATCATTCTCAATCTCCTCCTAATCATCACAACCATCAACAATCAAAGATTGTGCATTACTAGCATAACTTTTTATTAAAATTAGAGGAAAACCGAGGAAGGAAGCTCGGGTTCGACATATATAGTTTGCAACTCTACAAAAAAAATTATGTTGATTTTTGATTTTTTTAAAACGTTAAAATCCTATAGATTGTTGTATATAATTTATGGGCTTGGGTAATTTGGATAAATTGGATGTTTGTTGGGCTTAATTTGCCTTTTTAAAGTTATTAAATGGGCTGAACTTTGCTAGGCTAATTTTGACAATTTTTAGCACAAATGTGTGTGTATTGTGACGTTTAAGCGTGCATATGCGGTTAACGAAATGGGTTGACCGCATTATCACTTGTATGTCCCATGTGCGAGGCATTTCGAAAAAGGTTTGAGCACATGCACGCATTTTAGAACACTAAAATGTGGATAATTTTCATTTCCTCTTGAAAATCGGTGGCATCCCAAATTTTAGTCGTATATAAATCGTAAATGTTTAATTAGACAATTTTTTTACACGTGAAGAGGATGTTGAGTAGCCTGGATATAATGACATATTTCTTGTTATTTGCATTTAATTGTCGGGTTCGAGTAAGAGTAGAAGTTTTGCAAGAAACTAATTAAAGTGTCTTTGGATTCATCAGGTATCTTAGTGAACAGAAGCTCCCGAAAAGAATGTTGCGACTGCGAGATGGCGTTGATGGTGATGATCGTGATTGTGAAAACGGAGGGGAAGAAGAATCCGGCGAGGAAGAATGCTTGGACAATAAACAGATACGGAGGAAACTTGAAGACCTTAAAACTTTCCCATTTGAAGGAGGGGATTTGCGAATTCTAAGCCTTGGTAAATCTCTATATATTAACACTGTTGCATTGATGTAATGATGAAAGATTGCAGTGCTACACGAGTGCACTATGTTGTATGTGCATGCTGTTAATTTTTATTATATAAGTGTTTAATGGTTATGTCTAAACTGTCATTGGACTTTATATGCACGAGGGCCTGCAATTAGCTGTGGTTGAGCTTTTGTGGTTCCAAAACCTAGGATTTCCTGTTCTTCCCTTCGTTTTTATTGTTCAATAGTTCCATGCCTGTTGTTTCTGCAACATCAGAGGATATAAATGAGAAACCTATTTGGTTGCATCACTTTACTAATTAATTTCATTTACATATGTGAATAAAATACAATTTTCCACGGCAATTAACAACTCATCTAATGAATGTCAAGTGGCCCTGTGATGTCATGCAGGAAAGATTGTCACAGACTCTGATAATTTCCAAGATGAGAGATTTATATGGCCGGAAGGCTATACTGCCACGAGGAAGTTTCTTTCAACAAAAGGTGGGTTGTTATTTGAAACTTTCCTTTTAGTTTTATCCAAATCTTAATTATTTCTTTTGCTTGACATCTAAACTTTTGGTTTCATCAAAAATTTCCTTTTTCATGTTGATTTTGTGCATCAGATCCAAGTGTATGTACCTTATATAAGATGGAAGTACTGAGAGATGCTGACTCAAGGACCAAACCTATATTTAGAGTTACTTCAGACAATGGAGAGGAGGTATATTTAGTGCATTTATGTTGATTCAAAATAATCAATTTGTCACCACTCCTAATTCCTCGTCTAGTATCCCATAAAATACCCTTTTTTTGATGGATGAGTATCCATTTTGTTCTAACCATTACAAGTGATTTGAAGTTGGTAGATAATGGCATTCAATGTATCCAAGTGGCTTCTAGTAGAGAATTTATTATCTTTACTGCAGTATAATGTGCATTTATTGAGCACATCTTGTCTATTCGTAATATTTGGTCTTTGTTCCTTTATATATCGCCTTTTGTACTTTCCAAAGTGGCTTTCTTTAACCAGTTTTTGCATTGCTGTACTTTCAACTGACGATATATCTATAGCCTATAACATATCTAGAAATCAAGGATCGTACATACAACTGACGATATATCTATAAAATTGTTCACTTTTGATATTAATATATTCATTCAAAGGAGTGAGAGATTGTGAGGGAAATTTTTGATTAGTTGAAAATTATTTGAAAACATTAATAATTGCGTTTAAGAAATTCGAGGTTTTCTATGCATTAATCCAAGGTTTTACCCAATTTTATGACAAATAAAATCAAGATCATAAGTAGTTGGAATGAAGTAATAAATTCATTATTTCATGAATGATATTATGATTTTGTCAAAGATAGCTACCTGGATAGAGCTAAAGTTTAAGTTTTATTATTTTATTTTTATGTTACATTATGTGAAATTCATGGAAAAGTGAAAAACGATTTATATAAGCAATATACTCATCAATTAATATTAATCCAACATGTCAAACTAAAAATTTTACAAGACAAAAAAATCTTAGAATAACGTGCAATGTACTTTCCCCACAACTAGTTTTCTCAATTAATTGGGTTTTTGCTAGTATACTTTTTTGCAATTTTATTTTAATTGCATAAATCCTTTTTGATTTGATATGTTCTTTGTTTTGACCGAGGAGTAAAAGGGCCTGGCGTGTAGATGTCTAAAACATAAATGATTTAGCTATAGGTTGACACAATTTCTCCACCGATTTCATCAATTCGAGCCTCTCATACAATACACCCTATTTTTTCTTTTGGATATTGTCATGGCTTCTTGTACTAATTTCTTGACTCGTTACTAATATTTTCATTTTTGAACTCACGTGACGTTTGAATTTCTTTTTATTACACTAGGAACATGGTAATTGGGTAAGATCAAAATATGATCAAATGAACCATTTAGATTTCATAGATAATCACTCCTATCCAATTAATTTTTTCCTTTGAATTCATATTTACTGGTTATCTTGCATCTGCTTAATGCAGCTTTACCCTTTTTGTGCGACAAATTTTTTGCAGTTTAAGGGGTCCACCCCATCTGCTTGCTGGAATAAAATATACAAAAGAATTAGGAAGGTGCAAATAAACAGTCCTGATTGTGAAGCTGAAGTTGAATCTGAACGGGGTTTTGAGTCTGGATCTGATATGTTTGGTTTTTCACACCCAGAAGTATCAAAACTCATAAAGGTACGTCACATGAACAACGCAGCTGTCTTTATATGTGATTCCAACTATGTTATGGTACTTGGTTACAAGTACTTATATACAGGAACTTGTCTACGCCTTGGATATTTTGAAATTTTTCTACTCAAAAAGGAAAAATATAATTTTTTACTGTCATATCCAATTTTTTCACTCTAAAAATAATTAAAAAGTATTGAATGGAAATATGACTATAAAAATGTGAAATTTTTTTTACTCGTGACATGGAAAACATTTGAATTTTAATACGATTTGAAACCTCACCTTCCTCTCGACCCTCTGCCTGGGATGGATACCATTTTTTTCTAAACAAAGCTTCACCATTACCCTAAGAAGCACCGACACGGACACGAGTTGTGTCGGACACGCCGACACGTGATTTTAAAAAAAAGTTCCGACGCGATACGTTGCCGACACGTTGATTAAATTTTTTTTTATGTTATTTTAATTTTATATTCTAAAGTAATAATTTTTTATACTTATTGAATCATATATAATATGATAAATAGAAATCAAACTTGACATTAAATTCACAAATGTATTTTAATAACATAAGTTCAAAAAGTAAAAACGAAATTAATTACATCATTCATCTTGAATCTCTTCAACATCTTCATCTTCATCTTCATCTTCATCCACAAATACTATCGTCTCCAATTCCGGTTTGTCTATAGATAAATTAGCGACTTCAAGAACACCAACATCTTCAAAAGTATCAAATGCATCTCCACCGATATCCCACATTTTAGTCTCTCCTTGTGAGTATTGCGCACTCTTCCTTGACAAGAGATAAAGATTGCTATGGACGAAAATCGAATCTTCCGCACGTTTTGGAGTTAGCTTATTTTGTTTAAGAGAGTGCAAAAAGGAATAAGTGCTCCAATTTCGCTCACAACACGATGAAGAAGACGGCTGCCCCAACAATTTTAAGGCATAACTTTGAAGCATAGGTGTGCAAGCACCATAAATAACCCACCAAGTCTTTGGGTCCAAGCGGTAACGATCATTGATGGATTCAAAATCACCAAAGTCATCTTCCATAGTTGAGAATTTAGCATACTCCTTATTCACCATATTACGTTCTTCATTTGACAAGTACCGCTTAAAGCATTTTATTCATTCTCTTGAAATCTCTGCATCTTTATATGGAGCAAGGCGAGTGGGATCCTCATTAAGCCATTCCTCGCTATAGTACCTAAACAAGAGAAAAAAAAATTAAAGAAATGACAATTCATTCAATAACTAACTAAAAATATTAAATATTATGAAAATGTAAATAAACAATAAATGTATGAATAGATTTAAAAATTTTCTTGGATTTAGAGAATGAGACAAGCAATGAAGTGGAGTGTTATTTTTGTTCCAACGATCTACAAGTTTCCGATGAACAACATTGTAGAATGATGATTCCTCTTCTTGAACTTTTTTCTCATGCCTATAAATTATCCCTCACTTTCTCAATCATTGTATTCCACATGTCATAAACCAAGTGAAGGCAATGTTTATCTGTATCACAAAATCTAAGCATGTCATAAATGGGAGAAGTGAAGGAAAAAACATAACTTATAGAGTCCCACCAAAGATCATCAAGCACTTTCAATTTTACAAAACTTGCCTCGTCATGTCATCTTCTCGATAAAGTGACCATTTTTCAATAATAACCAAAGCTTGAAGACCACGTTGTATAAGCTTAAATCTTTTTAACATGACAATAATAGAAGCAAATCCTGTCTCTGCTACGGAAAGCAACTTCAAAGGCACAAATTCATTAAACATTGCTAGTCTCATGGAATGGTTTATGTTAAAAATTTTTATAATCATTACATCATCATGAAGATTAGTAATCCAATTGCATTCCTTATATGTGATCAAATTGTTTTCAACATTCTTTGCGGCACAAATGTTCTTCAAAGCAAGATTTAGTGTGTGTACAACACATGGTGTCCACAAAATATGAGGATACTTCAATTCAATTATTTGCTCGGCACCTTTGCAATTTGGAGCATTATCGGTTATTACTTGAACCACTTTTTCATGACCAATTTCATTTATAACTTCCTTCATTAAGTTAGCAATAAAATATTTATCTTTTGTTTCACTGGAACAATCAACCGCTTTTAAAAACATTGGTCCACTCTCGGTCACCGCCATAAAATTAATTAGTGGCCTTCTTTGTGGATCACTCCATCCATCACTTACAATGGTAACTCCTTTTTCCGCCCATGTGCCCTTAATAGGATTTAATAACCTTTCCACATTTTTTCTCTCTTTTTGAAGAAGAGTAGTTCTCAACTTGTTATAATCGGGAGGCAAATACCCCGAAATTCGACTATTGGAAGCAAGAGTATAAGAACTAATGTCATAAAGATTTCTTGCAAGATTAAAAGGCAAACCACTTGAATAAAACATTCTAGCAATTTTGGAATCCAATTGGGCTCGTGTTGTCATATTAAAAGCATTTTCTATTGCACTATTCTTTCTTTTCCTTTCCTCCAAAACATAACAATCCTTAGAACACATATTATCCGATGGCAATGGCACTCTTTTCCCCAACTTAGTTTGCATTCTCAACTTGACTTCATCTTCCATCTTTTGCATTTCACATATATCTTTCATAGTTACTTTTCCACAAGCCCCAATTCCATATCCTTGTAATTTTAACAAATGTGCTCTCACTCATGTATGAACTTGTCTTAGTTGCATTACAAAAATTGCATTGCCAACGAATGTTACCGCCATTTTCATTAAATTTATCAAGTTTTGTAACATATTTCCAAAGAGGTTTAGACAAATTATCATCTATAGCATTACCACTCATAACTTTCGACAAATAATTTCAAATACTTAAATAAGATAGGAGTGATATTACTCGAAACTTGAAAAATTTCTTCTTGATCTTGCAAATGATTCTTCAAATGAAAATTTTTTCTGAAATTTTATGAAAATTTCGGCCATAAACACTGATGAAGAATAGTGAGAGTTTTTATACAAGTTTGATTGTTTGTTGAAGGATAAAATAGTACAAATTAATTCAAACAAAATATTAATTTTATAAAAAAGAATACATCTATTGTCAATAGGAAAAGACTAAAATCATATACTAACACATTAATATGGCTTCTTCACGGCACCTTTGCCCTATCATTTGAATTTTTTATTGATAAAATGATAGACTTTTCAATTTTTTCAGCCACTCCCCTGTCCTTTTCTCATTTCCCCAGACACGGCAACTTTCCACACGTCTCCTCTTCATCTTCTCTTTTCTCTTTCTCTGTCAATCTCTTTCTTCTTCTTGTGGTCTTCTTCTTGTAGACTGTTCTGAACATTTTTCCTTGCTGTAGGTTCAGTTCCAAATTTGTGAAAACAGAGCTGAACTCACATCAAAACAAGAAGGTAGGTGCAGTTCCAGATTTATGTCCAGTTTTCCTACGCAAACAACTCGAAAAGGAAAAACACGAATCGACCCACCTAAGCCTCCGACATACTGCAAGCGGCTCCGACATGCGCCGGCGAAGTGTCGGAGGCGTATCGGTGTCCGATACGTATCGGACACCGATAAGCTTTCACCGGCAGCGTGTCGGTGCTTCTGAGCCATTACCTTAGTAAGTTTTCAGAATCCACCAAAGAAGGTTCATAGGGGTTAGGATTCCCCGACCGAATATAAATCAAATTCACGAGAACAAGAGGAAGGCGGCATAAACCCGACTTTTTAAAAGGAAAACAATGCTACATATAAGATGATGAAATAAATGGGGAAGTACTACTTCCTATACAAAAAATGGATATGAAAAGCAAACTAACGTCATCTAATGCTAGGAAGTTCATATCGGTCGGTCTGAACAAGAGCACAAAGTCGTCTTGGTGGGTCAAGCGGTTCATACTTCTTATAATAGGGGTGGTTCCAACCATCGAATGTAAGTGAATCAACAACCTTATTCCCCTCAAGGTACATGTGGAAAACACTATCACGATCAATTGAAAGGTGTTGGATCTGTCTTAGGATGATCTGAATCTCCCACGGTCCTCCATTCCTAATGATGCCGTAGACGGATACACATGAGTCGTCTTTCATCCATATGCTAGATAATCCAAGCCGGCTAGCGAGTAAAATTCCATCATGTAACTCAGCCTTCAAAATAAGGCAACCTCTATATGATGACGAGAAAGCCCTAATGCAGTTAACATTATGGTCTTGAATAATACCCCCCATTGCTAGCAAAACCATCCTTAACGCATCCATCGATGTTAGTCTTGTAGGATCTTACCGGCGGAGTACGCTAATGAACCAAAATAGGGGGTGCTAGGGAGGAAGAGTCATAGAAATACAAAAAGGTGGGGCGATAGTTAAAGTCCCCACGCAATGAATATGTCAGAATAAACGACTCATGCGGTGGACTCTCTAAATGATCCACCTAGGCTCGATGCGTATCTCCTCGTGTTTCGCATAATTTCTCTCAATCCATAAGAACTACAATATCAATAAAGGAGTGATAATGTGAATGTACCAATTTCGAAAATAATTGCCCGAATATCTCCATCTCTGGAACCATTGTCTAACTCCTCGTGATCTCATAGGTACCTGAAAGAAATTCTCAAAATGATGATATACTTGATTAGAAATTGTGATGCCTTTGAAAATGTGTGCAATAGTCTCGATCTAGGAACAACACTGACAATGGGAGGCCATCTGACAATCAATCCTCCTTTGCTTGACCACATCGATCGGTATCAAATCTCGTTACAATCTCTAGTAGAAGGAAATTATAGTAGGTATGATGGAGCTCCACATCAGTTGATATGAATTCCGGGACTGTCGACTAGAACAGACTAGTTGCCAAACTGACTTGGTAGTAAAACTACCATTGGGTGCATCCCTCCAAAGCAATAGATTTTGGACTTCTACACAGAGAGGCATAGCCCCAATTATCTCAACCATAGACGGTGGCAGAACTTATAACAGTCCCATCCTACGCCATCATAAAATTCCTGCACCTTCTCAAATGTGTGTTGTCGGTCTGGGAATAAAGACGTCAAAGCTGCCTCGTCCGTCCAATACTCATGCTATTAGAATATTTGTTCTGCATCAAGATGCCATGCAATGCGTGACTCAGCCTTTGGTCCGTCCTACCAGCTTCAACCTCCTCGAAACAGGTGAAGATGAATATGGGACTCTTGCTAAAAGAGGGTGAATTCTCTTGTAATATTTGCCCAGTAAGGACTAAGCTCATAACGTTCTCTGTGAATAGAAAAGCTACTAAAGTTTTAGGGAAGGGGTATAATTTATGTCATGCAATCTCCTGAAGCCTAGTTATCCCTCATCAATTGGAAGTCAAAGCTCCTTCTATCTCCTTCAGTGTAACCTACTCGTCAGGTCCCTAGAGTCAAAGGAATCGCGCAATTATACTCAACAACTTCTTCCATACTGCCTTGGGAGGCTGCATAATTTGAAGTAGATAAAGTGGTATAGAGGAAAGAACGGACTTCAATAGTGTAATCTGGCCCCTATAAGATAATAGACATAGAGCCCAACATGATATCCTATTCCCGACCTTCTCAATAAGGTAGTCATATAAGAAAGTCCGTTTGGTCCCCCTTATATAAGGGAACCCCCAAATATATAAATGGCCGTTGGTGCTTGAAGCCGGTCAGCTCCTCCAATATCCTGGCTAATGGAGGCCTTTTGAGGCAGTATAACTTCACTCTTGTCTCTATTTACCAACTGATAAGAAACGTCGTCATAATGCTCCAAACACTCTAGTAACCTCCGGATGGATTGCTTATGGCCATTAGCGAATATAGTCATGTCATCAACAAAAGAAAGATATGATACACGATTACTACCTCCATGCGTATAACCCATAATAGGGAAAGTCTGGAGCCGTCACTTGAGTAGGCGAGATAAGTGATCCGCAGCAATGATGAAGAGGGATGGCGATATAGGATCTTCTTGTCGTAGCCCTTGTGAGGAGGGGAATAAACTATAAGGCGCCCATTCAGGAGTGGATGAGGGGAGAAATTTTTCTTTTTCTTTTCCAATTTTTCCTAACTTTCACAAAGATATTGGGTGCTAACGTGTTATATTGCTAATACTCTGAGGAACCCCAATGCATTTTTTCCTATTTTTCAAATTTTAATGTTGAAGGTTTTGTTTGACACTATTTTTGTTATATGCTAGTTTTCCAATATACGCGATATATCCATTATGGAATTTTAATTTTTGTGATTTCCTGGCATGTGAGCCACATGGTTCAAGACAGCGTTTGGATGTATGATCCTTAATTTCTAATCCAGTTAGTGCTTGGTAAAGGATACAGTATGATTTTTTGTTTCCAGTGCTTTCCCATTATGAGAGATGGCCATTCAAGTCTTTCAGAGTTATGAGATTCTCTATGTACTGATCATCTCTGATGCTTTTCTTACTATTAATGTTTTTGGTATTGACAGGAATTATCAAATGGCAGACTTATCTCTGAATCCTCCCAGTCTTCTTCTAAACGACACAAAGGCTTGCCTTCTACTTACAGGCCTGTTCATGTAGAATGGAAGGACCTTGACAAGTGCAATGTTTGTCATATGGATGAGGTGAAGCTGCTTTCTATATATAATTCCAACTCTTAAGCTTAGTTGGCTGTTGCATTTTATCAATATATATTCTCTTTACCTGTTTACTATAGCATAACAGAAAAAATACCACTAACTTGTTTTGAAAGATGTTTAATGACCTTATTTGTCATTTTTCTCGGTTATCTAGCATATCTGAATTCCAATAGGTTGTTCTTCTAATGTTGATTCTTTGTCTCAGGAGTATGAGAATAATTTGTTTCTGCAGTGTGATAAATGCAGAATGATGGTAAGTCTGCATTCTCTTTCTTGTTAGTATTCTCCTCTGTTTGTAAAAAGAATCGATTTTTTTGCTGTGATAGGATGCATCTGTACAGCAACTAGGACCTTCTCATAGGCAAGGAATTGGGTACTAAAGAGTTTTGCCATTGTCCATTACACTGTAATTACAATTTTGGCACCAAGCTTTTAGGGAGTTTCCTGTTTCGAGTGTTTTTGTAACAGCATGAAGTTACTGTTTTTCTGAACTTCGAATTGAGATCATTGAATGTTCTGTTGCTTCGCGTTGGCAGTGCCTCATTCTTATTGGTCAAATTACTTGCTTAATTCCACTTAACTGGTCTGTGAAACTAAAGCCTTGGTACTGCAATAATACACGTCCAAAAACCATTGGAACCTAGGGAAAAAAATTAAATTTTCTCATTTTTAAATATCGAAAATTGTGATCAAATGTCTAGTTGATGTTTTAACAATGATTGCTTTTGTCTAGAATTCCAGTGGAAATAGCTTCCCATGGGATCTCAAGGCCGTACTGTCTCTTAAAATATAGATATATTCAGGACTGCTGTTTTATTATGATTGTCCCTGTCCTGGTGTATTCAATTTCCTTTGAGGTTTCATATTATCATTTTTTTTTCTTTTTTGTCTTCTCCTTTTCCTTTTTCTGCTTTTTTTGTGATACACTTGTTAACATTTATTCAGGTTCATGCAAGATGCTATGGGGAACCAGAGCCCAATGGTGGTGTTCTTTGGTTGTGCAACTTATGTCGTCCAGGGGCTACTGATGTCCCTCCATGCTGCTTGTGTCCCCTTATAGGTACTTCACATGTTCACTTTCACGTTTTCTTAAAACTTCCTTTGAATGTAGATTTGAGAGATTAACTGTATATGATCATCAAAAACCATATGTATGATTTTTTAGGAGGCGCTATGAAACCTACCACTGACGGACGTTGGGCTCATCTCGCTTGTGCCATATGGATACCAGGTTTTATTCTGATTTCGTGACTATTTGCTTTAAATTATTCTGACTTGTTGACATAATTTGTTTTGTTGCAGAAACTTGCTTATCAGATATTAAGAAGATGGAACCCATCGATGGAATAAGTAGAATAAATAAGGTATCTTCTCTTCTTATAGTATTTCGTATGTCATTGTTTTGAAAGGTTTTCTGTTTGCAAGTTATTTTATCGATGCCTTAAGTATTGCTTGAATTGTTACTGTATGCACCTCGCTTTTTAATAGGATTAACTTATTTTTTGTGGTATAATTAGATAATTTCAATTAAAATATGCGTCAACATGCACATTGGAGATATTGTGATTGTTTCCTTTTCTCTCTTGGATTATTAAGGACCGCTGGAAGCTGTTGTGCAGCATCTGTGGCGTTTCTTATGGAGCATGTATTCAGGTCAGTTTTTCATTATTATTTCTGTCTGTTCATTTCTTGTCTGCTACTTCATACTTATTTCACATCTTTTGAGTTATGGCATAAAAAACTCTTCATATATTGATGACCGCGTCCGTGCTTAGAGTTTTGATGGAAAATGATACTCCCTTTGTTCCAGACTACAATATGTTTTTATGGGAAAATAACTGCATTGGTCACCAACCTATTCACTTCGTAGCAAATATGCCCTCATTCTATTTTTTGCCACTTGCAAACCCAACCTATTATTTCTGTCGCACCTCAGTCCTTATTGGACTGAACTGTGCTGTTGACTTGAAGTTACAATTCTACCCTTACTTTTAAGTTGTAATTAACAAAAAATGGAAAAAGCTAAATAGAAAACAAAGAGAAAAAGGAAAAAAAAAAAATACAATTGCATCTTTCCCAAACTCCTCATCCTCACCAACAGCTGCCCTTATTCCTCCAAACCTCCACAACCTTAATCCCCTCCCCACCTGCCCCCATCCTCCCTCTCCTGCACATAATGCAGCCTGTATGGCAGGGGCTTGGCCTAAATTTGCGCTAATAATGTTTCCGAAGAAGATTTTATAGTGTTTTGACAATTTTAACTCAATGAATATAGCATGTAAATCCCACCTGCGAATTTAATGGCTGTTTGGATGGATTCAGTGAATTAGGGACTGCGGTGCTACAAAAAATAAATTGAGGACGTGAATGCTAACATAAATAGAATGTGGACTACTTTGCTTGTAAACAAATAGGTTGGGGACTAATGCTGCAATTTTCCCTTATTTCATTCTTTTTCCTAGCTATAAGAGTTGCTACAGATACTTCCCTAGTCTTTTTGTTTGATATGACTCCAAGTTGTTGACATTCAACTGACACATTTGTGAAACTCGCTTCGTGATATGATTCCTGGATAGTCTAAACCTAATTTGAATCATCGTGACCACACACGTACTCGTGTTCAGTCCTCCATTTATTGGAAATGTTGCTTTTGACCTATAATTTCTTCAACGAATCATCATGAGCGCACAAATACTTGTGTTCAGTCCACCAATTCTTGGAAATTTTTGCTTTTGAATTTGACCTATTATTTCTTAAACAAATAGAGCCTTGAAGTTGGAGGCAACATTTGTCTGTTAGTTTAATTCTTCTCAATAATAAGAACATCTTTTCTTTCCTTATGCTGTACATTTTCATTGTAGGTGGACAAATTTGGTTCTGTTCAAGAGATAATGGGGGCAATTAGTTTGGTCATTGGATATGAAGCAATGTTATACATAGTTTGATTCATCCATATGCATGCACTATATCACTCGATTTTTGGATGTAACCTTTTTATTTTTTGTTATTGTTGCTTGTTGCCAATATCACTCACTATTGCCATTTTACAGTGCTCGAACAGTAATTGTCGTGTAGCTTATCATCCTCTTTGTGCACGTGCTGCTGGCTTTTGCCTTGAGGTATCAAATTCTCTTATATTCACTGAATCATATGTCTAGTTGGATAATTCCATTCTATATGAGCATTATCACTATATTTTTACAATATTTATTTGTTTTGTTAGTTATCAACTGCTAAGTATTTTCTTTTTGCTTGCATATTCTTCTACTCTCTGTTCTGTATAGCCTGCGGACGAGGATAGACTTCATTTGATTCCTTTTGATGAGGATGAGGAGGATCAATGCATTCAGCTACTTTCCTTCTGCAGGAGACATAGGCCTGCATCCAAAAAACGTTTGTCTTCTAATGAGCGGTTTGGTCAAAAAGCCTGTGAACATGCAGACTACACTCCTCCATTAAATCCTACAGGCTGTGCTCGCACTGGTACACCATCATGTTCATGTTTCCCATTACAATAATATTCTCTAGTACATTTATAAATATATTAATGCTTGTAAGGGTGGCAGTTCAATTTCATAATTGGTGTATGGACAACTTTTTCATTCTACACTTTATTTTGCTAGGGGTTAATTTAAATTTAATTGAGGAAAAAGCTAGGAAACTGGTGATAAGATATTAAAAGAACTTGAAGGGGGAAGTAAGAAAATGTTGAAAGCAAAGTAGAGAGAGGAAGATCTCAAGAGTTCCTAAGAGCTTTGTAAAGTTATGAATCTCCTACTTAATGAGAACAGAGAATATTGATTGAATACAGATTCTTATTGAGTTGTTTGATTTTAGTTTATCATGCTTTGCAATTAATTTAACTCATTTGAAGAAGTGTCACTTTATCTATTTCTTTGGAATTCTTTACATGTAATTCCTAGTACTGCTGTAACTATTAAGGTTTGAAGCCAAAAAAGTTCACTTGCTATACTGCCTGGTTTTCTTGCTAGGCTATTATAAAAAGCTACGGTGATAGCAACTTGAGCGTTAATCAAGGTTTGAGGCAATATAAGCTCTAGAGCTACTGCTTAATTCTTTTTCTAGGCTATGCTAAATAGCTTTTGGGATAGCAACTAGAAGTTGGCTACGTATGTGATTCTGAATTCGTTACTATAGTTTCAAAAAAGGAGATAGAAATTGGTTTCCATGGTGGTTGAACTCCTAAAAACTAACTCTTGGAAGTCCCAGGCCCTCAATCTTCAGTGAAAGAAAATTATCTGATAAATTGATAGCATAGATATTCAGTCGGTCAAAATTGTACATGTTCAAGATGTGCCATACTTTGTTAAGCATCTATTAATGTTCAAAGTGGTAATGAATGCCTAATCGGGCTTTAATTTTTCTTCTGATTGCTTGCTTCTCTGTTGGTGTTTCAGATTTTATTTACTCATTGGCTCACCAGTCATCATATTTAATATTGTAACTTACTTTCACCTGTTCCACGAAATATTATGTGGGATTTTCCTTTTTTGCCCTTCCTGACGAGTTTTTTTGTTCTTTAAGATAAGAGGGCTTTATAGGTTCTCATGAAAGTGCAAACTCTTGAGTGGTTTCGAGTATACTTCACCATCAACCACCAACAAATATACCTGTTTCAGGAAATGTTAGATGGAATTTCATGTTTTCCTTGTGAATTTTGTATTCTTTAGAAATACATGGACACTATAGGTTCTCAATAAAATGCAATAGCACTTTTTATTGACTCTGTTTCAATGTAATGGAAGAGGTTATGTATCTTAAATTCTACAAGTGTTACAAGTATTAGAGGCAGTCCATTTGGTTATTCTTGAGGTTTCTTTTCTTTTTCTTTAAAGCTATTCCATTTCTTGTTACTTTTACTGGAATTTGACTGTTTGCATTTAAGGTACAGATGCCTTGATTGCAGCTTTGGGCCTTTTTTGCATGATTTCGACTATAAATCATAGTCATTTTTCTGTCATAATGGATATATGATTTCTGTTTGTCATTGTGGATAGAACCTTATAATTGTTTCGGAAGGCGAGGGAGAAAGGAACCTGAAGTCCTTGCTGCAGCTTCATTAAAGCGCCTGTATGTGGAGAACAAACCATACTTGGTTGGTGGCTACAGCCCCCATATGTCCTTGGGGAACAAAATATCAACCAGTGCACTTGTTGGTTCTAAATATTCTAATGACCTTCAGAAGCTAAAAACTTCTCAACTCGATCCATCTAGAAATTTTCTTTCAATGGCTGAGAAGTACAAATACATGAGGGAAACCTTTAAAAAGAGGCTGGCATTTGGTAAAATTTTCTGCATATATCTGTTTTTTCTTTTTTTTTTGGGTTTTGATCTGGTGTTGCTGTAATGCTTCTATTTCTTTTATCATATTTTTAGTTGGAGAGATGGAGAAATTATCTAATTATTTTCTAAAATTGAATGAAGTGGAAGAGCAGTTGATGTCAAAGCATAATTTTCTCCAACTTGACAGCAAATTCCTTGTGGGATGCTTTTATGTAATACACGACTTATGACAAACAATTTTCTGCTTTTGCAACGTTCCCCTGCATGGTACAGTTTGCATCATGTCCTTATTAGCTTTTCAATGGATAAAAATCCACCCCCCGGTAGTTTACTCATTCCAGTCTTCCTTGGTTCCCAATTGACCGCTTTCTGTTTTACCACCACCACTTGTACCACGGATTTGCACACCATCTAGTTGTGTCTCATGGTCAAGTTGGTCTGACTACTTATGATTAAACATTTATGATTACATGTTTAATTGGCTGTTTTGTTCTTCTTTTGGTTATTGCTGCTCTAGTTTCGTCGATCTAGCTATAATCACAAATGTTGGAAACTGTCATTCTATTTCTGCTTGCCTGTACATCTTTTCACAATGTCACTACAATCTTTATTCTCGTTACTGTAGTTTCCTTATCATCATATTGAAATTCAACAGTGCATCATTCTTTGGATTGATCTGTCCCTGGTGCCATATAATATCTTTGATCTATCAGTTTTTCATTTACACATTCTTTATTTTCCTCGATCGATTTGTGTGTATATCTTTGTGCTCTAGGTTTCATTCTTTACTCTTTATTTCTGTGAGAAAGTTTAGTTATATGGTTTTCTGCATTTCTTTTCAAGACTTATATATGATGGCAGATAATCATGTTATTTTGACGCATTAATGTTCATAGAGGGCTTCAAAAATATTTTCTATCGACCTGGCTTCATATAACCCTTTGTCTCTCTCTGTGAATAGAGGACATCATTAATGACAATATGTCGCCAAAGAAGAACGTTTAAGTTCTAATTCCATGCATTTGATTTGAATATTTTTTTTTTCCTGTTATCAATGGATCATGTGTCTTTTTTCAAACTATGTGTCTGGTTTGTCCTTAAAGGTTTATCATTTTATATCGATTATTGTTAACCTTTGAGAATGTTGTTGAGTTCAGGTAAGTCTGGTATACATGGTTTTGGCGTCTTTGCTAAATGTCCACATAGAGCTGGAGACATGGTAAATAGATTTTATCACCATATATTTGATACAACTTCTCAACGTAATCACTTAAAATTTTTTATGTTTATTGCACTAAAGGTGATTGAATATACTGGTGAACTTATTCGACCTCCAGTAGCTGACAGGAGAGAACACTTGATATACAATTCATTAGTGGTAAGCACTTTGTATTGTTTGATGGTCACCCTTGTGTATTCACATTTTTGCATTTGGCATTCCTGGAACCTTGTATGTATAGTTAGATGGGCAATGACTGATTGCTAAAGAAAGTGCTCCAATGTAGCTATACTGCACCAATAAGGCTCCTTGTGTCCTTCAGGCAGGCATTATTGGTCCTCTGATTATTGCAGATGTGTGTATCTGTTAAATAGTGTGGTTTCTTGATCTAAACACTCTTGCTATAAAAGCTTTTTGTGAGGATCTCTATGAGTACGTCCAAACAGTTGATATATTCATGTGGATGAAATGATTTCATGACTTGTATGTCACCATTCTACAATATTAAAGGGCATTTGAGTCCTTTTTTTGTTGCATATTTCATTATGTTGACGTGGATACCCTGATTGGTTTTTTTAGCTTTTGGCATTCAGCAGCCTTTTAGTTTGCAGATTAACCTGCATGAGTGTCCTGTAATTTTTGATGAAGATGTGCTGACTTCATGGATGAAGAAGGCTATGTGGGAAATCATTTGACATTTTTTCTATGGTACAGGGTGCTGGAACTTATATGTTCCGAATTGATGAAGAACGTGTTATTGATGCCACAAGGGCGGGAAGCATAGCTCATTTGATTAACCACTCATGTGAAGTATGCATCATCCAATGACGTTTTACTACTGTTAAATTAATGTCCTTTTTCTGTAAAAAAAGATTTCCTACCATGCTTTAGATAATAAGCGTTATTCTATTTTTCATTGAAACAAGTTATTGAGTTGAATTCAGAAATTATTGAAATTTCCTCTCCCAAATTCTCTTCTTCCCTTTCTATTTCTTTCCTTCGTTTTCTCTTTCTCCCTCTTCTTCTCTATATTCCCGTGTTCCCTATACTTTGCTTCATCATTTAGTTTTAATTCGTAGCTGAAGATTGTGATTGAGATGGAAATATGTTGTCTATGGGAGGCTTTTTCTGCTCTAAAGAATTTATTTATATGAACAAACATCCTTAAAATTCTTAGTACCATAATGTCAATTCGCAAAGACGTGATAATGGGTGGACAGTGATTACTTTCACCACTCATTCCTTGTTTTACAAGCACCCTAAGCCACTGCTATTTTTCTCAGTTTTTCGCTTTAAATTGATTTTGTTGTTTTGTTTCATCATGGGACATTTACATTTTCTGTTCTGTTTGCAGCCAAATTGCTACTCCAGGGTCATAAGTGTAAACGGTGATGAGCATATTATTATATTTGCCAAAAGAGATATTAGACAGTGGGAAGAACTAACATATGATTACAGGTTTGCCACCTAGTTATACTGCACTATCTCATCTTTGTCTTCTAGAGCTAACCTTCTGTTGTTTACACTACAGGTTTTTCTCAATTGATGAACATCTTGCTTGTTACTGTGGCAACCCCAGATGTAGAGGTGTAGTGAATGACACCGAAGCCGAAGAACGAGTAGCAAAGATATATGCACCCGTCAGTGAATTGATAGGCTGGCGAGGAGAGTGAGAGGTTAGCATTTAGCAAGTCGTCGAATCATTCTTGGTCCTTCCATTTTCGTTAGGATCAGTGTCTTATTGATTTATAGGAAGGGCAATTATATGCTTGCAATCAATTTCTCATTCCCCTTTGACTTTGCATCTTTCATTTAAACTAATATCATAAGTAATTGAAGTGAATTAAGTTGCTATTATTTCTATGTAATTGCAAGTTTCTTTCATTGAGAGTTTACTGCATTCTGAATGAATTTGGTGATTGGTATTAATAGTCGGCCATCAAGAACTAATAGTATTCCCTGTGAACTAATGCAACATTTATGAGTAGAAATCTTTGTTGTAGATTGCAACGTAAAGATGAGTAATTGGACTACAATAAACATATAAATACTTGAATCTTTTGTATTGAGGTATTAGCGAACTGTAGATACAGAAATAATTTCCGCAAATTTTCTCTGCGATTGAAGTACCTTAGGGAGAGTTGGATTCCTGGTGTATCTGAAGTATTACGAAGTGTAGATACAGAGATAAGTTATTTTATTTCATTGTTTTGCCAACAAGTGGTAGTGGCTTCGATTGAGAATAAATTAAGTGAATGACAACTTGGGTGGTTGGACATATTTTGCATGGACCTAAAGAGGCTCCGATTACAAGAGCAGCACTATCCTGGTAGATTGATAGAAGAGGGAGAGGTAGACCATAACTCCCCAACAATCTTTAGATCTCCCATTAGATTTAGAATGAACGGAAAGGAGGGGGGAGAAATAGGATTAATATAGATCTCGAATTTATGAGAAAAAGGTTTAGACCATCTGGTTGAGCTCGTAAGTTACGTATTTTGTCAATTATGATTCTCAAAGTTAATTTTTTGCTAGCAAAACTTACTTTTCTCGAAGCAAGAACGTGCATTTAGTTGGTCGTCGTTTTAATCTATTGCCTCATGCCATCATATGCTACTACGTCTCCCCACTCTTGTACCGATTAGTTTATATGTTGTGCAGAAGGTTTTCTATCGACAAAATATGGCCTCTGAGCTGGATCCCTCTAGCACAAATTTCGCAGAGAGACAGATTTTGTTGCTTCCAAGTCCAACTCTCCTAACCATTGAAAGAGGTTTTTCGTGCCTGAAATATTATTTCGTTTATTTGGTATTAACATAGAGAGAAATGCTTTACATTCTTCTTATTTTAATCCATTTGTCATCTATTAATAGTGTTTTCTTCAGCTACTGAATAAATGTTAGTAGAAATGCAAGATTTTGTGAATGAAAAGTGATTAATTTTTGAAAGATGTAAAATTTTTTACTCAAGTAATTGTGATTTCACAAATTTTAAAATTCTCTGAGAAGGGATAGAGAAAATGTCTCAAGTCAGTATCATTCGTTTTGATCGACAAATTTGATTGCAACTTTGAATATGAAATTTGAAGGCATTAAATTGAAATGAGTAATCTAACTTATAGATCTATAACGAAGGATACGAGAAACCAAAATTTATCCAATTTGAATATCATGAATCTGCAAAAAACTTTTCCCCATTACAGATCAATAAAACTTTTGAGGTAGGATTTGCAAGAAGACACACTGGAGGATTTATGGGCTTTGCCATGCGAAGTTCATGCGTAGTGTTCGTAAGTGCTCGAAAAAAGTAAGGTCATTCGATCAAATGTGACTACGATCAAGACTATTCCCTTATTTCTGTTTTGGAAAATAGTATGTCCCACAACCCCGTGGTGTCTAACTCAATTTTGATTGCATCGTTCTTTAACAACTTAAACTTTTGGACAAAAGGTAGTTGAACAATATGAAACAAAAGTTTTAGAAATAATACAATGGGCAGAAGTATAATTGTCAAGGAGAAAGCCTCATCAATTGTCAATACACATCAAGACAGCAGAAAGCTATGTTAAAAACGTAACAGAACACTTGTAATCAGAATCCTTCCAATCTCTGTGGAACTGGAGTACTGATCACCTGCAGTACTTGCACCACTTCTGCCATGGATGGCCTGCTGGAAGGTATCTGAGAAGTGCAAACCAATGCTAATTTAAGAACAGGCAAAACCTCGTCTTCCGGGTAATTTCCCATGTTTGGATCCACACAATCTAGTGCATTTCCCTGTTCAAGTAATGCCCTCACATGATCGGCTAGTATCACAACGTTATCTTCGCCATACTCGACCGGCCTTCGACCTGTCACCAATTCGAGAATCAGCACCCCAAATCCATATAGGTCGCATTTTTCGTTTACCCTCAAACTCTGGCAGGTTAATTCTGGTGCAACATAGCCTGGTGCACTTTGAAACCTGTTACTGAGAACGTGTTTGTCGAGCTTGTTTAGTAGCCTTGTCAATCCGAAATCTGATATTTTTGGATTCAGATTCTCGTCGAGGAGAATGTTGCTTGGCTTTACATTGTAGTGTACAATAGGGGGTCGGAAGGAATGATGTAAGTGTGCTAGTCCTTTTGCTGTGCCTAACACAATTTTGAACCTGATGGACCACGAAAGAGGTGGAGTCGTAGGCGGGCGCTCGTGGAGTCGGGACTGTAAGCTCCCTTCGAGGGCAAAGTCTGATACGAGCAGCTGCATTTGAGGAGTCCAGTAGTATCCTCTGAGCGGAATCAAATTGGGATGCCTTACTTTGCCTAAACCCCGAACCTCACGATCAAATTCTTCTTGATACTGAAGAATGTTGGCTGTTACCAGCTTCTTGATTGCCACGATTCTTCTTGCATCGCCTCCCAATGAGGCCTTGTACACGGTTCCAAACACTCCGCTTCCGATTTCTGATGCCTTATTTAGAATGGAATCAAGACTAGTACCGATCCAATCCGGGGAAGATTTTGTGTCAAACAGAATAAGCTTGCCCGCAGCCAGGCTTCCTGACCTAGTGGAGCTTGAGCACATACTTTCCAAAGCGTTGTCAACAAACGCAATCCTCCTCCGAGCAGAAGCGTTTAGTAAGCTTATCAAAATCACCCCAAGAACAATCACCACTGATGCTGATATGGCAACAATGGCTGAAACGCTGAGGAATCTATGATGTGTAAATCCATCAGTCGAGCTTCTTGAGTGTCCATTTCTTCGGTTTTGATCGCCTGTTTGATTGCCATAGGCATAGGGATCAAGAACTAAAGGCTTTTGGACATCCAGTTTACATGGTCCCTTCAACAACGGTGAGCAAATACCCAAATTTCCCTCGATTGCACTCTCGTCCAAGTTTGGAAAAATGCTTCCTGCAGGCAACCGGCCTACGAGCCTGTTATGCGATATATTCACAATAAGAAGATTTTCCAGCTTTCCAAGCTCTTGGGGTATCTCTCCACTCAATTGGTTCACCTCCAGCTTCAGAATCTCAAGCTTCTTCAGCAATGAGATCGATTTCGGAATTGAGCCACTTAGATTGTTATGGGATAGGCTCCTGCAGCGAAAATTACACTCTTACATTGCATTCATAGCCAAAATTAAGACAAACACAGATGAACAACAAGAACAAACTAAGCATGGTTCCTATATTTGGGGTATCCTTTTCGTCACTCTGTTGTGTTCATTAGGACGATGCAGTCAGAAAAACATTAAATAGTAAAAACTGAAAACTTACAGCAAGTTAAGTGATGAACAGTTTCCAATTTCTTTAGGAATTGGACCTGTCAAAAGATTTCCATCAAGCTGGAGGATTGCCAAGCTGCCAGAATCGCATATATCGCCTGGAATTGACCCAACCAAAGCGCTGTTTCGAAGATCTAACACAGTGAGATTCTGCAAATATCCAAATTCTGGTGGCATCCTGGATTCCAAATAATTCCCTGACAAATTCAAGTAACTCAGCCTGGAAAATAGTCCCATTTCTGCTGGAATTTCACCTGTCAGGTTGTTCCCTGATAGATCCAACACCTGGAGGGACTCAATCAGTCTGCTAGAAGCTGGAGGAATTGAACCAGTAATCTGATTTCTTGAAATATCCATTTCTTTCAATCCCATATCGAACAATCCCTCGGGGATGCTACCGTTGAATGAATTTCCCGTCAACCGGATAATGGATAGACCGGAACAGTAAACCAGGGATTTGGGAATGTTTCCAGTTAATTTATTGTTAGACAAACTAAGAAAATTTAATGGTTTAATGTCTCCCATTGACATTGGCAATGATCCCACAAAAGCATTTTTGGAAAAATCAATGTATTCCAGTATGTTCATGTTACTGATCCATGAAGGAAAATCTCCAGTAAACAAGTTGTTGGATAAACTCAGAAAGTTAAGAACTTTTAGCCTTTGCAGTGACCCTGGAATTTCTCCGGAAAATCGATTATCACTGAAATCTAACCTACTCAAATGTGGACATAAACCAATATCAGCAGGTAAAGATCCAGTAAAGTGATTTCCATGTAAAAACAGCTCTTTCAGGTTATGCAGAACTTTTATACCATCAGGTACAGGTCCTGACAGTTGATTCGTCGAAAGGTCCAGCGTTCGGAGCCTTGTTAGTGACCAAATTCCCGGAGAAAAATTCGCGTTACCAGAGAAATGATTGTTGGAAATATTAAGATGATTCAGATTTGTACATTTAGTAAGAGTACTTGGAATAGGCCCTTCAAGAAGATTTCTAGATAAAGAAAGAAAACGAAGTGATAAACAGTTTTCGAACAAATTATCAGGGACAGGCCCTGATAATGAATTCATTGACAGATCAAGAAACTGAAGCGAACTCATGTTAGCAAAAGAAGTTGGTATATTACCTGAAAGGCTATTTTGGCTAAGATTAAGCCTTTCAAGGCCATTTATTAGAGCCAATTCTGGATTTATGCTGCCAGTAAGATTATTACCAGATAAAGATAATACCTTCAAAAACTGCAATTTTTCGAGGCCTCTCCCAATTTTTCCTGATAAGCTCAAGCCATGAAGTAAAATTTCTGTAACTCGACTATTTGCCTGGTTGCAAGTTATGAAGTTCCATGCACAGGGAGAAGTGTCATCTTCATTCCAAGAACTCAAATGCATAAAAGGGTCATCAATGGCTGATTTGAACACAATGAGGCCTAACACATCATCATTGAGTTGAAGGGTATCTTCACCTAAACACCCTGCAATCATAAAAACTGAAAACAATGCCATCATTGCAGTAGAAGACTTCATTTTCATAGCCTTTCTCTCTCCTCTCCCTCTCCCTCTCTCTATATATCTATATCTCTCTCTCTCACTACACAGACATATAACAAGAAGTTTAATTATCCATTCTGAACAAGAAAGAAGCTATTCAAGTACAGTAAAGACTAAATAGTACTAGTACTG